AGTCTCTTCCGTATTTTCAAAGGAAGTTCGGGGTGTGGTGTTGCTTCCTAAAATAAACTTCCTTCAGGGATCTGGCTTTCTGTTTCAATGTTAATTACCAGATTCAGTAAGCAGCTACCTTCGTGAGAGCTCATTATACACTAAGCACTGTTCTTCTTTTTTAAATTAAACTATAGTCAGTTTACAATGTGTTAATTTTTGGTGTGCAGCATAGTGATTCAATTATACATATACATTCCTTTCCATGTTTTTATTATAGGCTATTATAAGATATTCAATATAGTTCCCTGTGCTCTACAGTAGGACCTTATTGTTCATCTATTTTATATACAGAAGTGTGTATCTACAAATCCCTAACTCCCAATTTATCCCTCCACCCTCCCCTTTCCCCTGTGGTAACCAGTTTGTTTTCTGTCTGTGAGTCTGTTTCTGTTTTGTACATAAGTTCATTTGTGTCCTTTTTTTAGATTCCACATATAAGTGATATCACATGGTATTTGTCTCTCTCTGTCTGACTTACTTCACTTAGTATGATGATCTCCAGGTCCATCCATGTTGCTGCAAATGGCATTACTTTATTCTTTTTATGGCTGAGTAGTATTCCATTGTATAAATATACCACAACTTCTTTATCCAGTCATCTGTCAATGGACGCTTAAGTTGCTTCCATGTCTTGGTTAAATAGTGCTGTTATGAACACTGGGGTGCATGTATCTTTTTGAATTAAGAGTTTCCTCCAGATATATGCCCAGAAGTGGGATTGCTGGGTCACATGGTAAGTCTATTTTTAGTTTTTTAAGGAATCTCCATACTGTTTTCCCTAATGGCTGCAGCAAACTACATTCCCACCAACAGTGTAGGAGGGTTCCTTTTTCTCCACACCCTCTTCAGCATTTATTATTAGACTTTTTAATGACGACCATTCTGACAGGTGTGAGGTGATACCTCACTGTAGTTTTGATTTGCATCTCAATTAGTGATGCTGCGCATCTTTTCACATACGCACTGTTCTAAGTGTCCCCCTGAATCCCCAAAAGACCCCTGAGGTCAGTACTGTGATCATCTCCACATGTTATAAGTGAAGACCCCAAGGCACAGAGAAGTTAGTCACCCAGTGGGTCACACAGCATGGATGGCAAGGAATCTGGATTTGAACTCACTTGGGCAGCCTGGCTGCAAGGACTGCAGTTGGCCACACACAGAGGGCT